ATATTTTCTTCATAAACTCTTTAGTTCCATCCTGAGCAGCAAACAAAGTTGTTGTCTTTTGGGAAAAAAGTCCAAAGAAGAAGAACAAAAATGTTCTGTTGCAGAGAATAAAAGACTCCAGACATACTCAGAATAGAGGTAACCTTGCTATTACAGTGCTTGATACCCAGTCTTAATCACAGATTGTAATACAGATTTCTTAAAGTTATTTTCCGTCTTTTTATTAAAGAAATAAAGGTTTAAAGTGTTAAACAATCCTAAGATTGATATCTATCTAGAGACTAGAACTGTGACTATCCATACCTCTGCGAGCCCTGACTTATTTCAGACATGAGGACAGTCTGGCTATGTAGCTACTTGGTTAGAAGAGTCAATTCCCTCTCTCTCCTCCTGATAACTGTGGAATTCCTGGCCTAGAAGGTTCTCACAGCTAAAGGACGCGGGGGGCTGGGTTGCAGGCCAGGGGCAGCATGGCTTGGGGTAAGCTATTTTCAGTCTGTTGTTAAGTTTCAGCCATCTCAGGGTATCTCCAGTATAAGCTACATCACCTCTGCTAAGGCAGCATGACTTTGGCCTCAAAATGTTTACAGTTGCATTGACTATTTTTTTATGGGCAATTCATTTGAAAAAAAAAAAATGCCCTTTTTCGGGTATTTTTTTCTCCACAGAATCCAAATGGATAAAGAAAAAATACTTCTCTATCCAGGGAGCCTTCATTGCTACTTTTGCTAGCCTTTCTGTCTCCCACCAGGCCTCTTATGTGGGAAACAATGTATCGGAGTTGCTGAAAACGGTTCTTAAAAAATCTGATTACAGGAAGTGTTAGATAAAGGAAATGAGATTCTTTGAATCAGATGTAGTTAACCGGTACTCGTTTTGTTGTTTTTAATAATGGTTACAATAAGAAAGCTCAAAACTTGCTCATTCCCAAATTACTTTCAGCTTTTTACTTTATCTCTAGCCTTTCTGATTCTTCTTAGAATGATAATTTTAAGTAAGAGAAGTAACTGTGATAGCATAAGTACTATATAGGATTTAATTGTCCTTTATTCATATTTCTCCTCTAAGAAATCACTAAGTGCTTCATTATTAATACCACCAATACCAAAACCAGATGCCTGACTACTCTGATTAACTTTGTCTGAGCCAGAAATTGTCTTCCTTTTCCTCAAAGCACATATTAGGTTTCTAGTCAGAGTTCAGACTTACTAAAAACCCGATAAAGACATCTTTCCGTCCCATATCTTAGACATTTCAATTTCTGCATATTCAGTGATTTGATTCATAAAGGGATTGTGAATAACTTAACTAAGATGTTCTCCACTTAACCAAGTTCCCAAAGGAACAAAATATTTGAGAAATAAGTAATATTCATAGTGTTTCATTCACTGGAAAGAGTTTAAGAGTTTTGAGTACATTAAATAAAGATTACAACTGGGGCACGGAGAAGAACTTCAAGAACTGAGGCAAACCGCTTCAAAAACTTGCGTGAAAAAAGATCAAATCTACAAGTGCAGTTATTCATTTTTCTATCTCCAGTAATCTGAGACACATGGAGGAAAACAGTCCTGACATGCTATGAAGACAAAAAGCTCAAAACACATGCTGAAAAAGACACAGGAGATATAAGGCATTACAAATTAGATGGATTCCTGCAGAGGAATGGGAAAGCAGAGATGATTTTAAGCAACTGCTGAAATAATAACTTCTTTAAACTAGTTCCCCTTAAGGCACAACAGCACATCATGATCTAAAGCACTCACCACTTAAATCCACACTAACTGTATCATGTCCACATCAGCCACTGTTAGGTAGGGAAATTCGTTCCAGTACATCACACAAGGTGGTCTTATCACACCAATCTACCGCTGTCTGCCATGGCATATCATAGCTTGGTCATTGCTCTGACCACTCTTAGATGTCTCTGGACAGGACAGCAAAAGAATTGTGAGGAAGGCTTTGGAGAAGGAGAATTTCGTGGGCTCTCAGAGAGCTCCTTGTCAGCATGCGAAAGGAAGTATGAAACCATCCTGGATAGACACAACAGGCCAACACAGCATTTTTCAGGGCCAGAGAGCTAGCTGTAAGAATCAAGACTACGGTGACAGATGGGATGAGATTTTGCCGTGTAGATGCAGCAAAAGGTCTGCATTTGACAAGATCTGCTCCCAAAATAACCTGGGAGGTCTGGACACAGAAGGGCTGTACAAAACTAAAGAAAAGTCTGGGTCATGTATGATATTCAAGTTACAGCCTGAGTGACAGGCAGGATGATTGTCTACTATGATCTACAAAGGAGAAGATAAATATACTTCATGTTAAGGGAATAAGTTCTCATACTCAAATGGGCGACCTAGCTGACAGATACAGAGACAGTCCTCGGATACAGTTTGGAAAGATGGAAAGAAGTCTATAATAAGCAGGCAAACCTGCAATTCATGCATGTAGAGACAAGAAACTGGAAAAGATGCTGTGTATCAAAAAAGTGGGGATCAGAAGCCTCCTTTTAACTGGGAAGTTGGAGGATGAATGAAGAGATTTCCATGAAGACACAAGAAGGCATGAGAAGAAACTGAAGCAGAAACAGTAAACAGAGGTAAAATATTGAAGAAGAGGTGCATAGTGACCATGTTGGTAACACATCAAAGACTGAACCACTAGAAACTTAGAATTATTATTAACATTCTTGAATACTTGTCAAAACAGTGAACGTATAAAAAATCCTGGCAATGGTGTTTCCTTAAATTGGCAAAGAACCTGAAAATAATTGTGAGGTACAAACTCAGAGGCTACTGAAAGTCCTCAATGTTGATATTTTAAAGTTTTAGTCATCTGATAATAGCATGCACACAAGGAAATGAAGTGTCACATTAATACCATGTGGTAGGATTGTGGGTTTAGCTTATCTTTCGAAAGTTTATTACCACCGGGGCCAGTGGAACTACGCACAGGGATAAAAATTCATGAATAGGAGTGTCATTGCTGAGTTCATAGAATCATAGAATGGTTCAGGTTGGAAGCGACCTTAAAGATCATCTTGTTCCAACCTCCTCTGCCAGAGGCAGGGACACCTTCCACTAGACTGTGTTCCTCAAAGCCCCATCCAGCCTGGCCTTGAACACTTCCAGGGATGGGGCATCTACAACTTCTCAAGTTCAAGGCTTAATGTCTATTAATGTTAAACTTTAAAAAATGCCATGCCCACAATTGCCAGAAAATACTACAGACAAAAAAGGTGGAATAGCTAGAGCAAAATCATTCATAAAGCCACTAATAAAGTGGCAGGTTAATGACATTTCAAATGCAGTTGTCATTTAAGATAACTGCTATGACACAGTAAATGGACATTTCCTATGAAGACGAATGTCAGCTTGAAATCTAGCTCGCAGAGAAGAACTAACTAAATCTCTTATGAAATGTTTTGGTTTATAATTTTCTTATCCATAAAAAGAAGGCGAAAAAAAGAAAAAAAAGTTTGTTTTTCTGACCTCAGGAAACTACTGAAAGGCAACAGCAAAAACCATATCCTAGAGTGCTGCCAAATGGAAGCAATGAAAACATGAGTTTTAGTCACATTTTTCTCAGGATTTGGACATTTTAGAAGAGGGTTTTGGAAAGAGTTAGCTTAGGACAGAGAACCAGGCTAGGTGGCCCTGTGAGCCACGTGGATGAGCTCCTAAAGTTGATTTGCTCAGCCTACAGCCCTTCAGGGGAAGTAGGACATATGCTCAGACTCTCTGGACAGAATCCCATATTCAGAAAAATGGTCTGATTCTCACTAACATCTTAATTTCCTTTCCTGTCCAATTTATTTAGGGCATTCAGTAGATGATATGAATTGCTCTTCTGCAAACATGTAATTGCAAACTTTGAAGTTCTTCTCTAGTTCCAAGTAAATGTCCTTAAGGAAGAAGAACATTGATCAATGGTGAATCATACGTTTGCGCCCTAATTTAAGTAACTTCTTTACTCTAAGGTACCCGAGGGGAAAATGTTTCATGCATGACCTTCAGTTGCAAAGGTTCTGTTATGCATTAAAAGCCTTTAACTATACTGCAATGCCAAAATTGCAGCAGACATCTTTTCAGAGCGGGACCGTCACTCAGTTTGACTCCTGAACAGAAAGGAGTGTTCAGATTCAGCACTGAACAAAACAGACAGACCTCTATATCACAGCATGTAAAAACATTCTCTGCACAGAACTCTAGGTCGCTGAGAAGGCAGAAATAAAAAAAAAGCAAAATCATGTTTTATATCCATATCAGTAGCATACAGAAATGTTCCAACTCGCTTTCAAAGTCTGACGGTTATTCATAATAATTCCTTTGAATATCTCCCAAATGTCCCCTGAACATCTCAAAATTAGAAGCTATATGGGAGTTATTTGTCAGGGATATCCTTATGTTTATTTCTCTTTGGCCTTTCTTGGTTGCAATATATTGTCAGGCTGTACACATTGAACTATATCAACATACCAAAAATCACACTGAAATATATCCTGGCAAATCTATTTCAAGGGGGTATATTTGATAGCTGTACAACTACATATCTGGAGGAATAATTCAAATCACACTTACTGCAATGTCAGTAGAACGTGGGAAAAATTCCTATTTTAACTTCTTCAGGAAGCTGGTGAATTTTGTATACCAGGTTCTGCTTTTGCAGAACAAAGCCGGGGCAGTACACACGGGCAATGGATTTAGACATTAAACTTCAGGAAAATCTGCCCTAGGATGTATTTCTATTTAAAAGGTGGTTTTAATTCATAATCTGTAATTCCATGGGTGTATCGACTCAGTTCTTTTGCTCTTTGTGTAGTAAATCATACTATAACATCTCAGCAATCCATATTCAGACACCAACAGCTTCAGAATTGTCTTACCCTGCTCAGAACAGAGGCATCATTGGAGGGTTTTTTTCACTGTATATGTATGCATTTACTACACGCATAGACAGTGTATACAATATACAAAAGTACAAGGAGTTTGAAGAGTGCTCACCGTAAGTGAGAATATACAGTGGTTTTCCATTCGTATCCATAGTGGTTAGGCAAGGAGCTTTTGGTGAGATGGTCCCCCATCGCTGCAAAGCTGCTTCCAGAGAAGGCGGCCAATTTGTAACCACACCTAATTGTTCCCCACGCATAGCCAACATCTGAGCTCCTTCTGGCTTTGGCTGGTTTGGATCTGGCTGTTGAACTTATGATTATGAAAAGATATACAGTTACCATGTAAATTCTATACCTTGTGTACACCTGCGTAACCAAGAGAATAAGTTACCTTTGCAAAATATCCTGAAAAAAATAATGTGTTAGAAGGTATTGAGAAGCAACAGAGAAATATAACAGAATGATTAACTTTTAACTTTAACAGAGATGAAGTAACTGAACGTCTCGGGAATGCACATGCTTATCCTTACACTAGCTCCACAAGTAGGGAAGGAAACTGCTGAGGCAGCATGCATGTATTTATCTTCAAAATAATCAACCTTTCTTTATTCCTAAAGAGAGATGGAGAATACTTTTTTTCTGGCAAAAATGCAGAACTACTGAAAAAAATGTACTTTAACAAGTCATCAGTAACAGATTGATTTAAGTCAGGTTCTGTTACAGTGCTGTCTTATAAACTACTATCAAGACTATTTAAATCACCACATCCTGGCAAATCTTAATTCTCAAATCACTGGCCTCCTTAAAAAAATCCTCCATTTATTGACTTTATCCTTGTTTCTCTCCTACATTTAGTTCATTTTTTTCAATGCTTCTCTGTTACACAAAGGATGTGTAAAACATTTAACATGCTCCCTCACTGACAGTTTTTCTCATATCGGTGTTCAAAAGCAATGGCTCTAACCCACAGCTGAACATTCTCAAAGCAAAGCTTCCCTCCACTCTCTTCTGTGGTTTCTTTGCAAGCAGAACCAGGAGCTGAGCAAACAAGAGAGACTTTTGACTCTACAGCTCTATGTCCAAGCTCACTACAAGCAGATTCCACTGAATGCTGATGCTTTTTGGTACTTGCCAGTACAGGGAAGGTTTACTTAGCTTTCTAGAAAGTCAATGTGCGAGACAAACATTTTACAGAGTTTTAATAAGAGATCCCCAAACCTTTTGAAAAACAGTCATTTTACCTTCTAACAATTCCTCAAAGTCATCTACAAAGAACTCTCGTAATGGTGGTCGTTTGGGCCGTTTTAGTGTATTGACCAGCTGCTGAATCTTTGCTGACACTCTGCTGCTCACTGGTACTCCTGTAGGACAGGGATCAATGGAGACATCAGTCGACTGCTATGCTGAACGCCACCAGACGTTAAGTGGGGTAAGAAAAGGGCTAAGACTGCAAGGCCACCACAACTACAGTTTCATGCCATACCGTGATTCAAGTATTCAATATTAAGACATTAAGATCATTTCAGCAAAAAGGAACAATGACGCCTAGTTTAAATAAAAGCAACACAACAATGTCAGCACGAGCTTGCAAAATTAGAGGGGAAACAGCACATGGACTGAGGGAGAGAAGCACAGTGAAAAAACCCTCCCTAAAGCAAATGTCAGTAACCTTAGAGAACTCTTCTAGGTGGCATTGGCAATGGTCAGTCAGAAGACAGGCATTGGCTCTCCCCATGATCACTGGTCATTCCAACATTGGCTGACAAGACCGCCGCTCAGCAAGGAGTGTGGGTCACAGGCTCTGCCCCATCATTTATTCTGGGTTGCTCTTTACACTGCAGTAGACATCTGTCCAGTATCTATCTTAAACATGGTTCACATCTTTGTATTACTTCAGCATGACCCTGTATTCACTGAAGATCCCTACAGCCAATCCCACCAGCCAGCAAACTCCAAAGGGAGCGTGCTTGCCCATACAGCACATTGAAAAACACAATTCTGAACAGGAGCGTGGGGCAAGGGGCACTTCTATAGTATAATCCCATAAATCACCTCCCCCTTCCTTTTCCCTACTCGAGTGCAAAGCCTCTGCAACGTTCACTTCATCTATTCCCGAAGTAATAGCTTTATGTCACTGCATTGCAGAAATTTCAACTTCCTACCCTTCCATAAGGCTGGCTCCAAAACTTTGACCAAGTGGTTTTTAGAGCTGAAGCTGCTAAGTTTAGATGTGATACACTTGGTCAACAACTCCACACCCCGCTGAAATATTGTTTAATAAGTTTTAGAAAAGAGGAGCAGTAAATAAGAAAGGGTTTACAAATAACTGTTTTTCAAAAAAAAATATGCTCAAAAAATAAAACTTTAAACATCGTTTTTCAAGGTGCAGCCATTCTAGCATGTCACGTTCTTTGCCATTTAAAAAACAGGCTAGCTGTAACCAGGCAGCATGATAAAAGCAGATCTAAAGAGATTCACTGGTTTCTTTTGCCAAACAATTTCTACAGGGAGTCAGCTCTGCTGATTAAGAAATATTTTCCTATGTCAGCTTCATTTATACCAGTTTATTTTAAGACTGTAAAGATGCTGCAACTTCGTACGTGTTTATAAGTGAAAAGTGCCCAGAAGAAACAAAGACCAGATGCATACAGTAACCACTAAAAAGGTTATGCTACTCGAAAAGAAAACAGTTTTGCTTTGTGACATACCATCACCAGTCTCCATAAGTTCAGCGTTTCCATACTTTGGTGCCACCCGTGCCGTTGATCCTTGTGGTCTTTCTACTTGTATTGAGTGTTCTGAGGTGTAAGTAGTAACATCTGGAGGGGCAGAATGATTTTCTGTGAAAAATAAGTTAATAGGTTTAACCGTGTACCTCTAGTGTTGAAGGGCAGAACAGCAAAGAGGAGAGGAAAGGATACCATTTGATTTTTTTTTCCCAACATCCGAACAGGCATTGAAGTTAATGCACAAAATGGATGTATACAACTATAACGTACAGCATGATTTTACTAAAAAAAAATTCCACTGATTAAAACAGGGGCTGTATATCTGCAATCATGTAAGCAATAGGCTAAAAAAACGATACAATTAGGTTGTAGGTTCTCCAATGACATTTAATTTTATAGTAAGTTAAAGCCTGTAAACAGCCTCAAAAAGAAAAGACCCAGACAGATATACCTTGGATAAATTATTGCATCGTTTTTTCTAAATGAAAAGAATACAGCATGTTGTCAATCACTTGCAAGTGCCAATGCATATCCCTTTTATAACCTCTTTATTCTGAATATGCCAATTTTAGCTAAGAAAGAAACTAGTTCGTATATTAGGAAAAAAATCAATCATAGCAGGGTTGGAATCCAGGGGAAAGAAATAAAATGTAAAGAAACATGAACTTTGCATTCTGCATGGACACTTGCTTGTCTACTATTTTTAGATAGAGCTATTTCAATTCTTCCGCATAACAAAGACTTGCCTTCCAGAAGGCAAACACAATTTGGTCTGACTCATGCTAGTACTGCTAAACAATTCCACAGAGCTAATCTTTCTCTTTCATAGCCTGATAACTCAGCATGCTACCACAGTTTGTTTTCCTGTGTTTTCAAGTCTGAGTGTGTATTACCTAGGCATTTGTGATATTTTTATGGGTTGTCTCATAATTTTTTTCCAGGTTTTTATCAGCATTAGAGTAGATTGAGATAAATACCATGGATAAATAACAACTTCTCTCTTGATTGACATAAGCAATCCCCAGAAACCTCTGAGATACAAAAGAAGGCAGGTCTTAATTCTGCTGCTGCTGGAGTGAAAAGGAATGCACTCCATTTTACAATAGGGTAAGAGTCTTTAAAAATGCAAAAATTCCGGAGAAACTTCATCTTGTTCCAATGTTATTTTCAAGATGTGCTTTTTATTAAATCTGTCCTGTAAGCATTGTGGTGCTGTAACTCTCCTACAACACCGACTTCCACAGTAAATTTCACCTCAAATGTAATCACGAAGCATTTTCATGAGTCTTGAACTTTGGGTCACTGTAATTCTTATGCTTTCAATCCGCAATTCATGCACCATCAACACAGATAACTAATTTTTAAGGCTACGCATACAGTTACAGGATACTATATTAGATGCCTATTTTCCATACTTCTCATTTGAAGGTAGCATTTGATGGACAGTCATCATGAAAAATTAAGAGATGACAGTAATGTCTATAGTTGCTATTTAATGTTTGTATTCACCAACATCATAAGGACTCAACCTAATCACTCAACCACAGTATCTGGTTGAGGAAAACACAAGATGGCTTTTATTATGCAACTCAAAAACATCTTGAAGCCTACACATGTCCCGTTGAGCCTTTTGATTCTGATCACATCCATTATTATAATTTTACTGAAACAAACACCTTATATTGCGCTGTAAGTGACCAACTGAAATATAATAGCTTGGACAATGAAGCTTATGCTGGTAATTGTTTGAATAATGTCTTCGTTTTAGATGTCTTGTCATTATCAACTATTTTAGACTCAGCACAATTTTTGCCCTCCCTTGCTAAGTGGCAAGAGCTTTTTATAGATCATGATTGAATTACCCAATAACTAAGTCAATTAAAAAATGCTGATATTTATCTTTTTATCTTTTACTTATAAAGTGGTTTTGCTATGCAAATAGGAGAGCTCATGACTAAGAAAATTATTGTACTTAGTCAGCTATTAGTAACATGAGAGAGTATTTTTAAATTTAGCTATAATTGTTTACATCTTTCCAGTGAAGTACATCCATCTTTCAGACATTACAAGGCAAACTGAATTGGAGTCAAAGTACCTCCTTTCAGGTTTTAGCACTAAGACAATTTTTTTTTTTTAATGTGTGGGAGAAAAAATACATGATCCAAAGAACCACAGAGCAGAGACGCTCTGCCTTCAGATCTATACCCTTAAACCAAATACTTTGTACCACATGGTGCCGAGCAGGGTGAAATAACATGAGAAAGAAGCTTCCTGCTCTTTTGTAAAAGGGTTTCCTTCTGAACAAGCAGCACTGGCACTTGAAATTACCTTGGGAAGAAAGTCTCTTCCCAAGGTGGCCACCACTGGTTGGCCAAAGAGTGGGGTTTTAGCACCCTAGCTGCCCATCTGCTATTTACATTTCCATTAAGAAGAACCCTTATCCAGCAGAAGAGGAATATTGAGGTTTGTCTTGCCCTGTTCCTTTATAGTATCTGCTTAACAGATGTCTTATCATGGCAATATCTACAGATGTAGGTTTCGTCCATCAGATTTACAAATCCTCAGTCAGTTCCCTTTTCGGAGTCAGGCTTGGAGAAATCAAAGCCATACAGACAAAAATTTGGTCTGAATGACTTCTAAAGAAAAATATAATTGTTATGTTATGTGAAATGTACCCTTTTTTGTATAGAACAGTCTATCCAGGCTTAGACTATGGACACAATCTGTACAAAGTTGCTGGTCTTATGTCAGGTAACTTGAAGAACTGTTTGAGGTTTAGTTGAGAATAATGATCCTGACACATCTGTTGACTAAAAAGTAGAAACTGCGACAGCTGCATGACTTCAAAGCATTTCCTCCATCAAACATACATATTTGCGTCACCCCCTCTTCCCATCTCTTTCAATATTCTTGCATTAGAAGATCACAGACAGAACAGCTGTTTCCAGTTAAGGTTCTCTTCATTTCTGCCAATGGAGTGATATAATTTACCCCATTTCATGAAAATCAGAAAGAACCAACAATGCAGAGCACATTCATGTAGGGACAGAGTGAGTGCACCGGCAGCACCCCATGTCTGAGGACAAGCAAAGAGGTGAAGGAATACTTTCCAGGGGCAGTTTGGAAGCACACATAAGCACCATGTATTTGAAAAGTCTCTGGGAACTCAAAAAGCATCTGTGCAATACTATACTTGAAGAAAATGTATTTTTCTCCCAAACAAGCTGGCTCTTCTGGTTGTCAGGGAAGGTAAATCCAGAGTCAGAGCTGTGGGTTTTTCCCTCAGCTGTGTTTCTCCCGTATTGATGTCCAAGCGACAGAAGAGTATTTTAAACTAGTCTTCCGTATTATAAGTTAATATTCCCCTCAGAACATCTAAGAATTTTAAGGATGCCAGAGAACTATCAGTCATGCCTTATGGAACATAGGTTTATATTTACTTTATTAGAAATCCATGTAGCCTTTAATTTGTATAGAGGCCTTTGATTTTCAAACAGAAACATATTTGAAGCATATAAAAGAAACATTAAATGCACCTAAAGAATAAAAATTTTGTAGTGAGATGTTTAACCCTTTATATAAATATGCAGTCATAGGTAAGCGTTGTGTGATTTTCATTACATGAACTTTCTGAGCTTTGGGATGTGCTTTCTCTCCTTGAATTTTATATATGCATAGATCAAAAAAATACAATACAGACAAATGAAAGTTTAAAGACCCTAGAAATATATACAGTACTTACCCAAAGATTTGTGAGAATATCAGGTATTTTTACAGATTTCACTGGTTTGACCTCCAAGTTCAACAATTATCCAACACAGTTGTGATACATATGCCAAACTAGAGATTCTCTCTGTAGCTTAGTACAGACACCTAAGCGTCTTAAAGCTCAGAATAAATATTTAAAAGATATCTATCCTAACCTATAACTTCGGCCATAATAGATCAGCAGCAACAGCAGCCAAATTAAATGAGTAGTGTAATACTAAAAGCATATAATAGCTTATGCAAATTATCCAAATATCTACAAAGCTGAACTCTGATTATATTATAGCCAAAACTTTTTATCAAAACTCTTCTCAGAACTGCATTACAGTATTTAAACTGGAAAAATCTCGCTTTGATTTTGTAATGCACACTGGAGGTCAAATCCTACTGGATATCAGAATGAAGGGATTTTTTTGGCTGTCATTAAAGGTCTTTCCTGTTGCCCCTTAAATTTATATTTATCAAAACTGGCATCTTCAGAGTATGGCAGTACATCGTTACATATGTACAGATGATTTGTCTCATGTAGTCTTATCTATTTCTGGAGAACAACTCCCTGGACCAAAGAAACAACAAGCCATGGGAATGTATGTTCTTTGTGATCAAGAACAAATTGTCTCCAGTAGATGAGGAGCTGCAGACAACATGATTATTCTTCTTTCTTGCCTTCTCTCCTACCACCGAGGATTATTCATCTACGATCACTGGCACACTGCCTCTGAAAGAGCAAGGCTATCTGTGGGAATACTTCAAATCTATTACTTCTTAGAATACATTTAAATGCAAAATCCACCTCCTCGGATTGAAAAGAAACAAAAAAGGCATTTAATTTCAAACTCTTACAGAAAGCAGCTCACCCATGAAGAAATACATCTCTTAGTTATCATCTGTGCACCTTCTCTTACATTTCCAGTGATCTTAGCAACAATGACTGATGGTAACCTTAAGATCACAGTCTCAATCTGTTAGCAGATATCACTCATATTATGTATCCAAATAACCTTTACATTACTGCATCACAACTACTGTCCAACTAGAGATGCAATTTAAGGTATCTTACTGTCAGAATGAATAAAAATATGTATACACTGAGGTAAGCTTAACCACTTCCTTCCTTCAAAGGAGAGAGCTTTCCAGTCAACAGCAACAAGGCAAAATAAAACAAGCAAAAGAAGTAGTATTTTTCCTTTTCTGCAGAATACTGCCATCTTAATTTAGCTCTATAAATGCTGTATTATTTACCGCAAACTCAGTGATTATAAAAGAAGACTTACTGTGCCAGATTTAAAATTACTGAAATGTCACATTATAAAGAAGCTATATTTAAAGACACATTAAGACTTGGTGTGTGAGTAATGCAACCTTTTAGAGTTTGGATAAATTTAATTCTCTATGCTATAATTTCCTCTAGCATTTCAAGATGAAGTCACAGAAAATAACCAAATGCAATGATTAATGTGTTCAGAAGTGTATGTGTTTCTAAAACAAGGTTCTAAGCTATTCATTTAGCATGAATTTAAGAATACAATAGAGATTCTTCCCCTGACTGCAATTCAGCAATTCCAGGCCACGGTGAGAGGATTACTTACCTGAAAATACAGGTGTTACATCAAGCTATACTCAAAGGAAAAAAAAGGGATATGGACTACTGTTCCAGCACACAAAATCAGGAACGTTTAAGATGCTTTCATGTATCTCATTACGTATACTGGAAAACGAATGATGAGTTGAACAGTCACACAAAACTGCATTGAATATGTGTAGTAGAACAGTAGCAAGGTTGTTTTATCTGTTCCAATATAGATTCCAAGAGATTTTCAGTGAGGCAACTCAAAATACACAGCCCCAGCAAGAATGCACCCCAAGCAGATGCCTTGTATGATAAACAGCAGTTACTGGAGAATGAAGCGAAAACAAGCTTTGCTTTCCATGCGCCTAATCAGATAGCTGCCTCATTTTAATGAAGACTAATGTCAATGGCACAATATTCAGAAATCATTAATGTCTGTGATGCTTAGTCCTAATGGAAAGAAAGCTTTGACTTCCTAGGATCTTTCCAAAGGATATAAACAAGCTACCACATAATAATAAGAGCTCCCTTCTCTGAAAGTACATAATAGTCTTTTCCAAGGATTATAATAGGTAGATACCCCAGCCCAAGTATGGTAGACTCAATCAAGGGCAGTAAAAAAATTATGGACCTATTGTTAACAGAATTATCAAATATCACTCAAATTATGTAATTAAAGTGGTGCAGCAGTAGGGGAAACTCGTGTGCAAGCAATCCCTAATGCTGCATGCACTGATTTTCAGTACTGATGGATCCTACAGAGGTCTTTTTTAGTGCTAAGTAATGGAAGTCATGTAACTGCACATTTTAAGATATTTGGGAGCCAACAGCTAGACCCTGTTTGCCACAACATAGGTTTACCTCCAAATCTAAATTGCTACTTTTTTTTTCCTCACAAAATAAGAAGATAGGACTATCTCTCCATATAATACATACAAATACAAAAAATGAAAGAAGAAAAAGAATAGGAAAGACTTTCATAAGACTTCATATAGCAGCGTCAGCTGAACATGAGAGACCAAATTCATGTTAAACTGGACATACTTAAAATGCCCGCATACTAACCTATATGCGTTTGAGCCATAACATCAGCTAGTCTGTGTGCAGCACCGCTGCCTCCGCTTTGTGTTGAGGAGGAGGAAGTGGTTGACGTTGTAGAGCCGTGGATTGCTTGACTGATCCAGTGTTCCATGTTTATACTCCCCTGACTTGAGGTGGGAGTTCCCTGGGAGTCGCCTTGTACGGAGCCTTCATCTTCTGAACCAGAAGAAGTATCTAGTAATTAAAAACAGCCTGTTAACTTGCAGTGCTTTGGGGTTTTCTTAATAGAAATAAGGCATGTTCATATTAAAAATCTAAAGATAACCTCCATTAAGAGAAATTCATGAAGGCAGGCAAACGTAATAAGAAAAGTCTGTAATACTGAAAGTCCTGAAACAAAGTCAATTGCTAATTGCGAATCAAGGGCACTTTCCTGCTCTGATGGTATAGGTTGTTTACTATTGTACAAAAATAAGGATAATAAAAGAGTCTTCCTTTATTATGTGGCTTGAGAATCTTCCAAAGATCTTCAACCATGTATTAACAGTACAGAATACCCAAGATACTTTCCCAAGCTCACTTCACAAAGTCTGTGAAAACTTTTCCAATTGTAGAAAGCCCACCCCTCAGTGAGAAACAGAGTCCCAGCTGGATTCAGTGAGTATGAGAATGCATGAGATGTGGGGTATTTTCACAGTCTAGTAGGTGAAAGAACAGATAAATTTGAAAAGGAATGGCACAACTAATTGTAAAGACAATGTTCCACTATAGTGTTAGGGAATAAACTAGAAACTAGAAAGCAACTTTGAGTCACAGAAAATATGACAAGCTGGCCATAGTTAGGTCCTCCTAAGACCGAAAGGACAAATGGAAGTTGAGGTACCACCAAGGCCAAAGCAATCATGCCAACTGCCCCAGTTGACTTTCCAACCTTTCAGTTCACCTTCTCCTCTTCAAACATATCTCAGCGTTACACTCAGTGCGCTTCAAATGACATTTCCACTACTATTTATGCAGGCATATTATTAGCTCACAGCCGCAGAAAGAACCATTTTTAAAATTCTCGTAAAATACACAGAGATGCTCACCTGGAGGTGTGTAGGCATCCATTGATGTTTGCACCACCAATGAACGTCGTTTTGAGGGCATGGGGACTGCCATTTTCCTTTCTTTATGTTTAGAGAGGGCTGCCTGAACCGCAAAAAAATGAACCTCTTCTGTGTGGACATCTGGAAGGAAAGAGAGATTTCAAGGTAGCGTTCAGACAGAAGCGAGCTGTCTCTTTGTACATTCAGTGCACCTGCACGCAGGTTCATTTGTGCGCCAGCTAGGCTGACAACATGCATCGAATGATGAAAGGCCAGGAACGCACGGGATCTCTGAGGGACTGCATGACTTCTCCTCACTGTAGAAAAAGCAGCTACAGTGTGAAAAGTGCCGTACCAACAAACAAGCCCTTTGAGCTATATGATATTCCCAGAACAGTGTTGCAGTACCTGAAAAGTAGGAACTCTGCTTCCCCAGAGCAAACCTCTGTTCAGCTGAGAGCTGTTACTTCAGCAACTGTTATTGTTTTCAGTGAAAGCACGGTGTATTAACATTGCCTGTTTTTTAAATGAATGAGGTTTCCAATTTACACAAAAGTCACACAAAGTGAAGAGGAACATTTGCTCAAAAGGTGAGAGGTATGTGAAATGTCACAACAGAAAGGGCAGTAGGTCTCCCATTCCCAAATCGTCCTCTTGCCTCCTCCACTTGGCCTTATCCACAGAAAAGTATTACGTAGGGTTGGCCTGAGGTGGAATGAGAAGAAAAAGCACAAGGCCTTTCCTGAGTGAAGGCCTTGTGCTCCGCAGGCGTGTGCTACACACAGCTCACACCAGCCTGCTCCAATGCGTCCAACAGATCCATTCTCCATGGGGCATCCCCAGGGAAGAGCTTCCCTACCTTTGACATGTACATATAGCTGTCTGTCTCAAGTCTGAAAAAGGGCATTTATCATGTCTAAAAGACACTAGCGACTTGTTTTGACTAATTACTTTGTTTTGTGCAGATCTTTTAATTACTCCCGTAACTATACATTGAAATAAGTCTGCCTTTAGTTTCCTACCTTGCACTATTTGTCTGCATATTTCTATGGGTTTGGGACAAGATGCACATGACGAGACTGTATGCAAAACACATGGCAGCCAACAAAAGTCACTTATGGTTAAAGAAGTTGCCACACACTGACCATCTGGCACACAACTGGAAGCACATTAGACATTGCCTTTTAACCGGTCGATGTTAGTCAGCTGCAGAAAACGCAGAACGTTGTGTGCACTGTTTGGCTGTTCCCAGTTGTGAAGCAGGAGCGCAGTTAAGCAGGTTTAATCCAGAGCGATCCCACTTCTGCTGCTGCTAAGTTCGTTTGAAGACCACCCTTGTAGGCTGCCTTGGCAGCACACAACCTGTTGCCTACTCCTGTGTCGCTGTGGTGGCAGCTCTGAACAGGCAATGTTCCCCAAGAAAAGCAACAGGAAAGAGAAGACTATATATATATCTTCACTTAAAGAGCTGTTGGTTGGATCACATCAGTGTAGGTAACTTGTTTTAAGTATCAACTGGGAAGGATGACTAGAAGCATTAGATGATACACTCTGCTGATAAGCGCAATGTCTCATTTTTAATAATAGTGTTCCCTATCTTCTGCCAGGGTTTAAGCACCTCTCAGTGGAAAGACTGCAGGGAAGAGTAAGTCTAAGGAAAAAGAACGTTATCAGCTGCTTCTGTGAGTTGTTTCTTGCTTTTGTTTTAAGTCATGAAGAGGATGAGCACATCAGCAAAAGCAAAGCAAGAAAAGCAAACAGCAAAGCTGGAAAAGAATATTCAAAAGATAAAAGAGCTGTGCGGCTGAACAGACCAAACCGGAGGAAGATTGCAATGCTAACATCAAACCAGAAAACAATTTCTCTCCTGTCAAGTCATTTTTTAAAGTAGAAGTTTCAAGGTCTTTATTATAATTAAAACCTGATGAAAAGTTTATGTGAAAAGTATCAGGCTAAGAAAATAAACAATGTAAGTCTAAGTCTTTACCTAACAGCATGGCCCCAAGATAAATTCCTACCTGCTCACTCCACACCAATGCCAATAATGTATACGGGACCGAACATGCTCACTAATAGTTTGTGTTTCTTATCCAACAAACAGGGTAAATTCTTGGTTTTTCTTCAAAGGATAGCAATTAGTTATCAAGCAGTAAAAAAAGAGCTTTTCTTTTAAAATAAAACCCAAAACTCTACAGCCATTTTTGGAAGAGAATAAATTTTGCTGATCAAGACAGGAAGAATTATTTGTATATTATTGCATTTAGAATTGTTATTTACTGTTTCAGGAGGGAGACAAGGTGTAACTCAAATTCTTCAAAAGTTTTTTAAAGGAGGACAACTGACAGAAAATCATTATGAAAATGCTTAGTGACAGTTGGACACTGAATCATAACTTGCAAATTCTTTGATTTCTTTTTTGATGCTTTTTTGATGTAAGAAGTTAAACTGATCAGCTTAATTAAAAAACACTCTGCAGGGTTTTGATTTTCAAATGAGTCCATGGGAGTCCAGGAACTGAGTTGTTTTCTTAATAAAGCACGTTTGATATGTTTATTTGTAATGTGTTACTGTGGAATAAACCAAACTATAGATTACTAAAAAAAAATCAAATAAAAAAAAATCAAAACCCCACAGGAAAGCAAAAACAATGGAAAAGATAAGAAACTGAATAAACAAGAGAGAAGCTGACTGGGGAGAAGGAACACGCACACCTGCTCCCAGCCCAGCCTGTAAGGTCAACTATTCTGACGGCACCACTCAGAGTATGGAGGCTACCAAAAAATCCAGGACACATGTCTAGAAAAGGTTGAGGACAGACAGTCCAGAGATAGTCCAGGGACTATCAGCAAGAGCTTACAGGCTTTTAGAGGGAGAGGAAAAAAGGGCAACAGAAACAGTCACGCTTGGATGAAAAATATTTTCACAGCATTCTCTCCCAGAAATAAAACTCTTGGCTAAACGAAGTGTCTCTAAGCATATAGAGAAAAGCTTAAGGATTAGGTAAAGAATGAGTAACAGCCTATACAGTTCTTATGGTCTTCTTTTTGAATAAAAGCCTATTGATGAGTTCTGAAGATACTCTTCAACCTGTTTTGACAGTCTTGTACAGAGTTGGACTTGTTAAGCTAATGAACAGCATTCAAGCCATTCATACGTAGAGACTAAGTCCCAAAGTATTGCAAAATCAGAGAAGTGAGGGAAAGCCAGACTGATACTTAAGAATTACACTTGAGAACAACTCACAGGTTACAACATCTATCCTGTAACCACGACAAGACAGGAACAGTACGTAGGTTTGTCCCCACCAAATATCAGCTTCAGGTATGCACTCTCCATACACATGCTTTGCTTTTCTCTAGGTTTTGGCTTTGCTTTTCTGATCTACATGCCAACTTGGCTGATGTATCCCAAGGAACATTAACCAAAATACAACTAATAATCTCTTTCCATATTTTTATGAAGCATGGATTTAAACCTAAAATGAAACGTACATTCCTCACCAAAGGATGACCATGGTGATTTGCTTCTCCTCAATCTGAGCAAGAGTGTGGTAGCTCTTTGCCTTTTTCTTGGTGAAAGATGGGCTATGGTGTCCATCACATTGCATGTGACCCATTCTCTCCCACTGCTTGCCCACAACCTGTCCCTAGCAGCTACTGAAAAAATACAAGCAGACTTGTAATAGAAATTTATACAACAGTAATTGGAAGCTTCTTGTTTACTAAAGAAAACCACACTTGTGATACACACTAGGACAACATATAATGAGGGTAAGAAGACATATCCAAGTTCCCTTGGGACAGGAAACTGCTTATCCCCCCAAATCCCATTAGCGCAAGCAATTTGTATTCTCCACATATCACACAGAGCATCACCATAGAATATCACATTAGAATTTCAAACCATCTCTGGCAGGGTGATGCCCCTTGTATTGCAGGTCTGACAGAAGTGTCTGAACTGTCTTCTCAATCTACCCTGGCACACTAAGGCTAACTGAATTCATGACACCACTATCGACCATTGCTTTAAAACACAGATTTCTTGTTAAATTTTCCTGAAAAAAATTGCTCACATATGAAGATTTTGTCCAGAAACACCACACAGTTAGGAGCTTTCCATTAAAAAAAAAAAAAAGAAATCAACAAAAAACCCACCTCTCCTCTCATAGTGTGGCATGCTACAATTTCTCACCTACTATAAACTTCTGATAGAGTTTCAAGCACAGATATACTTTGATGTAGCTGTACTCAAGCCTTCTGAAAAAGTCCTGGGTCTAAGCAGAAAGAAAATGCTTTTAGGCAAATGTTCTTTTATGTACAAGTCTGTGACATTCTAACTACACTGTTGCAGCTGATAAAACGACTCCAGGTCCTGACCCTTCAAAGCACTCCTATAGGTAACAAAATCTTTATACTCTTCCACCTGGCTTTTCCACAAGGAAGTCCCAACGGAAAATCTAGAGCATAGAGTAAAATAGCACCACCTCTAACTACAGTAGTAGGAACCAATGCGCAGTTCCTTATCTGCTATTGTCCTCCACTGTTTTAGGTTGGCCAGCCATACGTTGAATCCAATTTGTGAGCTTGTACTCAAGGAATCAATAA